CATATCTGGGGGCATTGGCACAGCAGGGCTACATTGCGAGTCGTCGGCGCCTGTCTTTCTACGGGGAAACTGCGCACATAGGATCCTAACATAGGATAGGATCTAACCTAACCTTCCTGAAAATTATTCAATATTATAATTTATAACAAAATAGCGGCTGAATTACTGTGCCTCTTGCTCTTCTTTAAATTTAGAGCAAAGTCTAGATCCTCACTATAGGCTTAATGTTCTCAGAAATAGGCAAACAATTCCAAGTATGAACGACAAAGAACAATATAGTAGACACATTTGATTGGATTAGTCTTCACTTAGGCCTATCTTGAACCTTATTGTTAGGATACTTATTTGCTATGGACACTAGAAATAATTATCAAAGTTTAAAATATGTGATTCGTATGTTGTTACTGTATGCCTAATTAAACACGCAGTTTGCTTGAAATATAGGCCTAGAATAGGCGAACTTATACCAATGATGGCTTATACCTAAAGACGACCCATCAAAATCTACAACAATAGAAGATACTATGAATAGGTTATGTCGTATCCATCCGACTAAACAATTGAAATAATTTTCGACAAATGCAATTTCACTAGTATTGTAATTAATAATTAGTATAAGCTAAATTACAAAAAAGTTATTTAAGGAGATTACCTTTACGAGATGTCTTGTATTCTTCGATTATTTAATCAAACGTACACAGAAACCAAAACTAACAACACATTAAAGGAGAAAAGGACGAAAACGAAAAGAAATTTGCAAAACACAAACACATTCGCAAAAACACGGCCTTGTAGATTGCAGTTTCAGTGACGATCAGATTCAATTTTTGCAAAAAAACATCCTTATCACTATCAGCTGACTAGGCAACCTGTAAATTCTAATTCTTTCACATAGCCCATACGATTAGGCCTACTAGAAAAATACCGGTATGGATCATAAACAAAATAATGACGTTGTTGGCCCGAATCCTATACTAATAGCATTGAACATATGTTTTGACAGTTCCATTTAAGCAATGTTAAATAATGTTTATTTTCGGGCCAAAAACGTCATTTGTTTATGTTTATGATCCATACCGGTATTTTTCTAGTAATCGTGACATAGCCTACATGCTATAACTGTTGGTATCGAAAGCCTGCAATGAAACCATTGACTATGGATACAGCAATTTACTAGTCGTCTCGAATCGATTGATATCAGTTTTTTTATTTACAGCAGCTCTACTGTGGGTTGCAGGAATTTAATCCCCCTGGAATTTTACCACTACTAGAGCAGATAAGCTGTCTGTACCACGACCACCTTTAACTCCAGTCCTGGTAATATGACGTAGTAGCCGGAGCGCTTTTTCGCGTGAGGGTTTTAAGCCCCCCCCTCCGCCCCCGTTGATTTAGCAGTCTAATGACATATGAGCTGGATAAATTAGATTATATGTAGTAATAAAAGCCGGAATCTTACCCCTTGCCCATAACTACGGTTTTAGAGAACTGTAATGTGCAGCCTGAATTTTACCATAGACAAATACTGTAGAAATATAGACTGTCAAAAAAAGCTTCCGGCACCCACCACTAGAAGTGCCATGTTTTTACGGCACACACCGCTGCGGTGCACTGCAGGCAAGGAGCACAGGAGCAGTATGCTACCAGCAGACGCTGCAGCGGTGTGCGCCGTAACTACTCGACACTCCTAGCGGTGGGCGCAGGAACATAATGCTAACCTCAGCACTGCTGTCGGTCTATTTGTCTATGATTTTAACCTCTGTCCAGGGGCCCATTTCATAATAAAGTACAAACTAATATTATTAGTAAATCAGCTGATCGCCCAATGTAAATCTAATGGAAATTACAAGTTACAAGTTGTAACTTGTAACTTGTAGCTTATTATGAAATGGGCCCCAGGTATATGAATTTGTGAGAATCATTTTGTATGTAATAGTGTAATGTGCCTATTTTAGAGAAAGACCATTACACATAGTTATTCTGACCTTTCGACATTTTTTATTAGATATTCTGTTGACATTATGAAATCCAAACATAGTAAATATACCATGCTTCCAGCTTCCACAACCTTTTAACTTTGCTGTGTCAAGTCAACATAGGCTTTGTCCCCTGTCTGTATTTTCAAAGGGTTATAGGACAATGAGTTTTTTAAATAATGAAAAAAGCACCATAACAACACCGCCATGTAACCGTTTTCTTTAATGATATTTTTATTTTTCATAAAAACAGTAGGAAAACTACCATTTCTACATCACTGAACTGAACTATTTTAAATTTTTGTTTATAGATTTAATTTTCTTACAAAATGTAATATAAACAACAGTGGAATGGCAAATGATAGTTAAATGTCTAAAGTTCTTTACCTAAAAAGTCAATAATGTACCAAATTAATTAGTCACCAAATTCTATTATTGCCGGTCAGTGGGTAAAACTCTGGGCCATGTATTTTGAGCTGATCTTATGATGGGGTAAAATTCCAGCCCATACACTCTAGGTTTTATAATTTGATTTGTTCTTATTAAATTCACAACTGTGAAAAGATACGTTTAGTTTCACCTTTAATAGTAAAAAAGTAGTCTGCATTATTGTGATAAACTATATTTTTGAAGCTTACCAACAATTCAACTGAGTATTTACCCAATGAGATCAAGTTTTGTGATGAGATTACCAAACAAGTAATTACCAAGGCAAAAAATGTTTATAGTGGTTCGGATTCCACTATAAACTGTAGGTCCCTTAGTTGCCATTAGCTGTATGGGCTGTTAATTAGCAGCTGTGTCTAAGGAATGTCAGCCTTAGTCACTAACAGACTACAGTATAAGATCACACCACTCATCCTACACTCATCTCCATTCATACGTGGCTTAAAATACCTACTTTGTATGGTCGCCATTTCATAGAACAGTATTAAAAAGGCTAACTACGTCTACGATTCAAAATCTAATACCAATATAGCTCTAGGCCTATATAAATTTGGCGTTTTCATGCTGGTGTGGCATTTCTAAACTGTTGTAAAAGGAAGGTTCGACCCTTGACATATTAATACAGTATGCACAGGGCACAGGTCTAATGTAAACCTGTGGATAGAAAATGCTAATTGAGCCTAAAGCTGTGTTTACACAAGGCCATTAGAGCAGGCAGGTCAAGGGGCAGGTTACCTGCCTCCGGTGTATTTCAAGTTACCTTAGGCAGGTAGCCTGTCTGCCAACTGGCTTCCTGTAAACGCGGCTTTAAGACAAGTGGGTCCCTATTGGTTAAAACTGGGCCAATGAAACCAAAAGCATATGTATTGCTTTATTTAAAAAAATACCTCCTGAGTAGACAGTAAAAAAGCTGCCAATACACATAATGAATTTTTCACCACACTATGATGTTTTTGGCTGTATTACATACGTTAATTGGTGGCTGAAAGTTACGTTTTGCTGACCATGCCAGCTGTCATCGTAATTTGGGGACCGAGCAGGTTTTTACAGGCCGGGGCCGCAAAATCAGCTGTCCGCTTACTTACTTAAAACATGAATCTATCTATCTATATATTAATAGGCAAGCATGTTTCTTTAAAACCTTTTTTCTCAGCTCGTGTGCATCGTAGGGAAAATCTACGCATACCGTTGGAAAGCTATTTTCCTGTAGGTGTGCAGAATCCCTTTATAAATTTAAATAGGCTCAAAGATAAGCACAAAAAATAAGTTTAAAAGTTGTAAAAAATTAACATGGATCTTATGCGTTGCTATGCTGGTTACGAAATAACAACGAAATATAAACAGAAAATCAAAACAAATGGAGGAAACTCCAATCACATGTTTTATTTACAGTGTGGGGTGAAAATAGTTAAGTGAGTACATTACATATTTTTGGTCGAGTTTCGACCACTGGACGACCTCTCGTGCATTTTAAATACACAATCAAAATCCATAGCATTGCAATAGAATTGTGTTATTGTCACCGTTGCCTAGCAACTATTTATTTTTATTTTTGCTGATTCCTCAAATTATTTCTTCACATAACCTTAAAGTTGTAGTTGTGTTGACTATCAGTGTGCATTATTATAGTGGGAGTGGTGAATAGTGGTAATAGGGTATAGTGTGGTGAAAAATAGCGTTCGTACCACGGACCGAAATGGTTTTGCAGCTCTCGATCGATTTAAGTTCTCGACTTCGTCTCGAACTTAAAAACTATCTCGAGCCGGCAAAACCTCATTTTCGGCCCTAGGTACGAAATATACTATAAAAGTTTGTTTAGGTTTTGAGCAAAATTTAAGTGATGGTATAATATAAGTCAAGTTAGGAGTTTGAGATTACAAATGTTTTTCGGAAAGATTTTGCAGAACTATTTGGGACTATGGACAAATAGCTATGGATACTGCTGGAATTTTTTTCTTTTTTCTTGCTGTCTACTGTCTACACCGGTGGCATTTTTACCGGAGGAATCAGAGGAGGATGTAATTAAATCAAAAGTTAAATTTTTTAAAACCTGCTACCTTTTTTTCATGAGCTTGATATGTGATAAAATCTAGTATGATGATGTTGATGTTGACTACTGTAATTTTCTTATCTGATTCCGAGGTATAATTTAAAAATCTTGATGGAGCACTTTACTCTTGGTTATTATGTTAGAGGATAATCAACATGATATATGGTAAGTCAGAGGATGTCATAGTCATTCTATCAATGGAATCAAAGGCAAAGGTAGAAAACACTTGAGATAAAAGTATCAATGACAGTGTAAGAACTTTGAAGTTACTAGGGAATATTTTGTAGATACAAAATTCACATTTGTTCTGTAAATAGCTGCATAACATAACTGATTCTTCTACAGGTCCAAGTCATATTAGTTGACAGTTTCATAAATCAGTCCAACTAAGCCTAAAACTGCTTTGGAAGATGAGATGCCATAGCTCAAAACATGAACAGCATGAAATAATCTACATTTGACACCTTCAATCTGGCTATGTAAGTATATTTTCATTGTACAATTGAATGATTCAATAACAAAACATCACATCTACTAAATTTACAGTTTTATTTCACATAACATTATTTACAAAAGACATGGATACGTGGGAAACACAGAACTAAGGCAAGACCTGTAATTTACACATTCGTAATACTTCCGGCTTGCAAACGCTAAGCCGACCAGGGGTCTAGGTCGGCTTACAGTTTGCGCACAATTCATTGGTTACAAATCACTCGAATTTAGAGGCTTCAGTCAGTCTAATATCTCAACTAAGTGTTCACTGCTTCGCCAGCTGCTTCATGCGGTTCAGAGCACTGCCAGCCTTAAACCACTCAATCTGTTGGTCGTTCAAGGTGTGGTTCAAGTTGATCTTTTCTGTCTTTCCGTCTTCATGCTTCAACTGGCAGACGACAGGCTGAAACAAATCATCGGTTGATTATAAATCACCATATAAACATAATACAATACAGGTGATGTTTAGTAAAAAAATGCTTCTCTACAGGATTGAATAATAATTTTATAGAGCTAGTGATTTTGTTAAGTTTTCAAACTACTGTAGGAAAAAAAATCTAACAAGACAGAAAATGTAACAATTATACCTTTTAGACAAAAACGTTTGTTAACAACTAATAATTTAATCTCTTATACGAAAAGATAAAAATTGGGGTCAAGCTTCTCCTCCTATACCAAACCAGAAAGGAAACTTGATTTGCCATAATTTAAATACAGTAGACACCCTCTTTTATCTCCTCGGGACAAAGGCCAGTCCAGATAACAGATTTTGCGGCTAAACCGACGTTGCGTAAAACTTGTCAAATTAGGAATGTCTAATGCATACTATATAATGATTGTTAAATAGAAATAGTGCTCAATTAACGATACATATGAATCCAATGTAGTCACTTGAAAACTTATCCAAATATACTAACTGAAATTTGGGAGAGTATTGCATTTAGACTTGTGATCATTGGTCTCAAATCTTTCCCACAAAAACATTTGTTTTAGTACAACCATTGACTATTGGATACTGAAGTAGACGTCCCATCTATATGGACCAGCTGTAGCAAATTTTTTGTTAAAAAAGAACGTAGTTGTTTGAGCCAGTCATAGAATTGCAATGGTGACTAAAACTCTATTTTCTAACTTTTTTGTTGCTGGCCAAGATGATGGGTCACAACAGTTGCTATAGCTCACAATAAGTCTTTCCATTAGTTTGAATTGGTAAAAAAGATGGTGTATTCGAAGAAATCAGTAATTTAGGCTACAAATTTAACATGAGGATGGAATGCCTATGTCTGTATTAATAGTCAAAGGAACAATCCACTTCCTGCCGATCAAGTCCGGTTAAATCAATGTTTTGATAACAATTGTCCGATTAAATAGATGTCAGTTCTGCCGAGTTTAGTCAGGTTATGCTGTCTACTGTTAAAAGGTGTCCGAAAAAGAGGGAGTCTACTTTCTCCAATGTCATCATCTTGGAATGGTTTTGAAACTGTTTACAAACACAACACAGCCAAAATACACAGGTTCAAGTTAGTGAAAAAGAATAAATAGAGCAGACTTCAATGATCGCTGACGGGATGCCGTTGAGAATGTTGTAAAACAAAATATACTATGTGAAAGAGCACGTTGTCTAACACATCAGTACTTTTTTGTTTGTGTACTAAAAAAAAGGTGCCTTTTTTCTTCTTAGATCAATTTATTAGACATGACAGATTCAAACTACACTTAACACGTTTGATGCGGCACATCAAATGGCGGGCGTAGCCCCAGTGCGGCACAGCCCGCAGTGTCGAACAAACCCGATTGCCGGGTGATTGGCTTTCAAATTTTGGTCAGAATAGCAAATAACGTGCGGTGATGTCCTGCTTTACGACGAGAGTCAACGTAGTTCGCTAAAACACCCACAGATAGCAGAACTGCTTGGAACGTAGCAGGTCCCATTGTGATTGTATTGCCAATTGGAGGGAGAAAGACAGGGCAACAAGTTGATTTTTATGCCTGCTGGACGAGGATTTTAACTACTAACCTACACCACAACTAAAAGTAAGTCACACACTACACGTTAACGTGGTATAGGTCCGCCTTCGATTGACACTACAGCAAAAACGAAGATATACAAAAGGCATTCCCGAGCGTTCCCGATCTGGTACGGAAGCACCCTACCCGATCGGGAACAGCCGCACCCAACGTGTTAAACACGAATACTCAATGGTTAACCGCAAATATTATTGAAATAACTAAAAAAAAATAATTACAAATATGAAGTGACTGAGTATTTAACTTACTAAGTATTTTACCAATCTTACTTAATAAGGTCTCTCTTATAAGCCTGCAGATTACAAATTTTAAAATGTACAGATCCTTACATTCACAAAAGACTAATTTCTCTTTACCTTGCCGGGGGCGAGGTCCTTGAGGCCCAAAAGTGAAATCTTGTCACCAGGTTGAATCTTGTCGTAGTCTGAAGCGTTCGCAAAAGTAAGAGGCAGCATTCCTGGAATCACAATTATCTAAATGAAACTGTTCCTTGGGTAATTTTGATAACTAACAAAATGTCGTTTTACAAAAAAATAGTAAGGTATAATATTTTGTAAATTTATTAGTTTTGGTTGTCTAATCTTTGATTATCTGATCTTCCGTGTTATTTGACCTTCTCTGTAAAAAATCAATTATCGAGAAACCGAGGACAACTTTAAAGTACGGGTACACACGTTGAGAAAACCCATTTTTTAATCCCTGTCTGTACTTCGAAAATACAAGCCAGACATTATGATCTGCACTTGACGGTACTTTTTGATTGTTATTTGCACTGCGTACCACACAGTTCATCAACTTCTCATACCTGCATACTCTATTCCCAATGTTGCTGTTGCTGTACGAAAGGATATCTGTAGCTGAGATCACAAATATCACATTAGTTTATTTTACAGATATGGCGTGTTGTTTTATTTTGTCGGTTATTTTTTTTTTTTTTTGTATTTGTGATGATGGCTTCAAAACAGAAGTCGTTAGTGGCTCTATCAAAGACAAACTTTATTCCTCATGTTTTCAATAGTTTTTTAAATACAGTAGACTCTTGATAATTCGAAATTGGTGGGCCAAGCATATAAATTTGAACTATCAAGAGTTTTGAATTATCAATAGTTCGATTTATCGGGAAAAAATAAACCATTCGAATTACAGAGAGTTCATTTGTTTAATACAAAAGGTACAGCACGTTACAATAAAACATCATACCGTATTTAAGTACACTTTTAAACAATCAACGGCTTATTTTTCAGTTACTGTAGTTGCAAAGAAATCTGTTATTTAGCGCTATATATTTCGCCAATAGCTGAACTATCAGCTGTCGACAACTACGTTTGTGCTCAAGGAGATATCGTGCAATCTAGAGATCGGATTGCCAACTTAAAAAAACAAGTCAGCGAACTAACTCAGACTACTGCTCTAACTAAACAAACATTAAAACGTCCAACACTAGCCTACCATGGGAACAGGATGTACTGTACTGTATAGTTTCCTGTTATAACAGGAAGAGATCACTTAGAATTTTAGAATGTTTTGCTGACTAAACTTCGAATTACTGCGTGACTTTGATTTATAGAGTGTTTTTTTGATGAAACTTCGAATTACAGCATGACTTCGAAATATAGAGTGTTAACCGACGAAACTTTGAATAACTGAGTTGCTTCGAATTATAGAGTGTTTTTCCGACAAAACTTCGAATTACTGCGTGGTACAAATTGACCTGCCCTCTATTTGGACTTTGAAATACCGAGTGTATCAAAATGCTTGGTAAAAATTTGAAATATTGAGAGATTCTCTAGGGACTGAGCCTTCATTTTGAATTATCGAAAGTTTTGAATTATCAAGTGTTTGAATTACCAAGAGTGGACTGTAATTTCTTTATCAGCATAGTACTTGTTATTAAATTACCTAAAAACACAAACAAAAATAAAATAACACTTATAATAATATATTTTCACTTATACTGTTTACTCACAAGATCATAAATATATATATAAGATGGTAAATGGTGATCGATTTCGATTAGAAACTTCAATCATCATTAGACCCAATAGATGAATCAAATATTTTTTGTGCTTTTAGGTATATAATTTTTTTTTGTCTTAACCAACTTAACCTTACTGCAGTCAGTCAAGAACGGCTAATCTACTGTAATTAAATGTCTCTAGAATCTACAAAACATAAACTGTAACAACAATTGCCGACTTTATAAACTGTGTTGCACTAATTAACTGTTTCACTGTTGAAACCACTGTTTTTAGCATGTTTCACCTTGTTTCTTGAGGTTGGTCTCGTGTATACGTGCAAAGCTCTTGACGATGATAGCTCGTCCACCGAGGTGTCTAGGCTCCAGAGCTGCGTGCTCCCTGGAGCTGCCTTCTCCGTAGTTCTCATCTCCTACGGCTACCCACTTGACTCCAGCCTATAAAAAAAGTGATAGATCATTTTGTTATTGTGTGTAAGCAAGATAATAGAGGATAGTTGTGAAACTAGTAGTGGCAGGTATATTAAAAATACCAAAAGATTAAATCGCAGTTCATATTAGAGATGAAAAATACCATTACAACAATAGTCATGACCATTTCTCAGATTTTTGTAATAGGTGAGTCGCTAAGTCTGGATTTAGGGCCCAAGGCAACGATGTCGTGCATTCCGATCTTGGTACCTGCCACTACTTTTTACAGTAAACTTCACTCTAGTAGGCCCTACTGAATTGGCTCATCCCTTACTTTGTTGGATACATTCCACGCACAACGCACAGGTCTGTAGCCTATGTGGACCGGCAAATGCATGATTAAAAGTGGCCGTAAAACAAAGTCATTCTATAATTTTTGTCACCTATTACTTCCTCGCAAGTTTTGGCCGTTAGTTTAGTAATAATCAGGTGTTAGATTAGTACCTATCAGTGTTATTTCACTTGCCAATTCAGACAATGTAAAAAAATAATATGGAATTCTATTCTCACTAATCGTATTACCAAGGTGCTATATTATTTTGTGATGCTCACTGTTAATAGGAAGACACAATCAGCATTCTTTCACTCCCTTGTTCAAACAGTTCAGTAAAAAAATAATAGGGGATTCTCAGTAATCTATTACCAAGTTATAGGTGACAATTCAGTAACAGTATTATTTATCGTATTATGTTATATAAGTTTACCTCTAGTACAAAATAGTCCTCGCTATACAAATTGTCCTAGTTTGCGCAACTTTGCAAATTCGTTAACTGAACGTTTTTTTTTCTTTTTGTTTAATGTTTTTTGTCTAGTATCACCTAGAACCCTGCAGGTTTAAGGAAAATAAAACATTGACTAAGGGGAAACTGTCCCTGGAGGAGATAATTAGGTTTTGTATAGCACCAGAAATGAATATAAGAATGATAAACAGCAAGATATGCATGTAAACCTAAGGATTTAAAAACCTCTTTTTAGTCCAAAAACATCTTTGGGCAGAGATGAGTTTATTTGTAATTGATGATCAGACCTTTTTAGATCATAGTTTATTCTTCGACAAGCTGCAATTAACGTCGCTGGTGTGTATATTTCTTTACCTTCTTGTAAGCACGCGCCACATCACAAACGGCTCCCCATTCTCCTGTGAGGCGGTTTTTGATCTTGTTTAGTTCACCATTTTCTGCGTTTGTTGCACTAAAACAAATATTTTTTTCTAAACAATTACTATAACTTCCTTGATGGACCTAATAGCCTTTTGTGTAGTATTTACAGTATGAAGTTTTTAATATAATAACAACCTAGACAGACATGCTGAGCTTGAAAACATTTGCATTTTATTTTATCATTTTACTCGATGTCTTCAAACATCCCTTAAATGAAAATTTGTGACTTAATAGTGAACTTCTGATTATCTGACTTTATTTCAAATGCCATTTTCCTACTACAATCAATAATTAGGAAAGATCCTTCAATTTCAGGAAGCACAAATCACTGAGAAGATTACACGAGTTACAAATGCTCTGTAGAGATTCTTTTGGTTTTTTCATGACTAATAATTGGTAAAAACCACTTTAAATTTGTATAGAATGTCTTTAACTCACGTGAGGAAGAGGTTATTAGAGATGTTGTCCAGATGTCCTCGGTACTTGAGCCATGGACCAGCCGCCGAGATGTGATCAGTTGTGCATTTGCCTTTGACCTAGAGCAGACGATATATCAATGTATTAAACAACCTAAGTATACAATAGTATTATTTCTAGAGGCTATGCTATCCTCAAGTATTTATCCTGGTTTCCAACCATGAAAGAAATTTACTCAACAGAATGAGGTCAAAAGTCACAATTATTTTGGATAAATTCAAATCACACAAAACTAATACTTTAAATATTTTAGTAAAAAGACTCCCAGTAATATTACTGATGATTTTTAATGATAATTTGCTGTGCAGGGACCTAATTTCAGAGTATTTGATGTAAAACATTATATGTAATGTTTCTTTTTCTGAATGAATTGAATTATGTCATTAATACAATGCATTGAATGACATGTATTGGTTTAAATTGGTTAGGTCAACCATTGATGAAGTCTTAAATACATTGTAACATTTTTCCAGCTGGTATTTAATAAAATCTCTTGGCTAAAGAAACAGTTGGAATTAATAAGGAGGCAAAGGAAGGTTGTCGTCTCACTCCTTTCTATAATTCTTATTCAGTTTAACCTTTAACTATTATTTAATATTTATACAACTAGACTTTCCATCACCATGTTAAAGTTGTCGCCAGTTCTAAAATCAAAATCGTTGTAGTTTATGTGAGCCACCAACAGATTGTGGTCATGTAAATTAGTAATTTCTGTCGATACACAAACTTGTTTACCAAGTAAAACTGATGGAATGACTTATTGTGATATATAAATTGTAGAAAAAGGAGGATAGCAGCTAGCTTACCTTGAAAGTGTGGGTAGGCCATAGAACAAGTAGAAAAACACTATGCCATTGGCCAAAATGGACAGCAGCCATTTTGTAACTCTTTCTCTACACTTGACAAAGTCCCTTAGGGGACGAAATATTGTGTGCATAGTGTTTTTCTACTTGTTTTTCTACTTGTTCTATGGCCTACCCACACTTTCAAGGTAAGCTAGCTGCTATCCTCCTTTTTCTACAATTTAAAATCCTGGCCTAGAGCCTTTCCTTAAACAAAACTAACCTTATTGTGATATATAGCAACTATGACCCATCAACTATGTCAGCAACAAAAAATAAGGTAGAAAATATAATTTTAAACACATTCTGTGACTGGCTCTCTCAACTATATTTTTTTATAAAAAAATGGCAACAGCTGGTCCATATAGATGGGATGTCCACTTCAGTATCCAATAGTCAATAGTTTAACCCTCCAAGCATTTATTGTTGATTTATCGACTCTTGTTTTCAGCTAGCTTATGGAAACTTTCCACGCTTCCTCAGTTTCTGTATAAAACTCTAAAGGTTTAGTCAATAGGCCCTAAAGAAAAGATTAAGAGTTGAGTTTGCCTACCTTGATCAGAATGGTCATATCCTCCAAGTCTTTGCCGTTCCACACATCAAACGGCTCCAACAACTGCAGTCTCTGACTCTTGGGGTCAACATCCACCTTCAAAGAGGTACCTTCCTTGGGAGGAGCCTGACAACAAACACTACATAAGCAAATACTCATAAAATACCCTTTGCCTACAGTCACCCGACAAAGTGGGTTTCCTTATACAGATTATAGTCCAGAAAGCCTTACTTTGCGCACAGTTATTACTTTGGCACACACCAGTATTCCAACCAAACAACACAAAAAAGCGTGTTTTTATTAAGCACGTAATCCGTGTACGCTTGAAAATAAGTTGACAAGACTTAAAGATATTACTACTACGATCAGCTGGTGCAGCGTTTCCTGTTTAGTTCAATGTTTTGATTTAACCTAACCTAGAAACGCATTGTACAGTGATTGAAAGACTAATTGATTTATAGTAACTGTAGGAAAATATAATGCGTAACACGAGTGCAAACTGCCTTTGCTGCACTCGAGAAACTTTCCACACTCGCCTATGGCTTGTGCGTAAACATTTCTCTACTGTGCAGCAAAGTGCCACTTTGCCCACTAGTTTCACAAATAACTGTTCACCACACTATTTTGTTTTAAAGGACATTCCATCCATTGTTTTAGTCCGGAAAACAGCTGTTCGCCACCAGCTTAATCTATTGGGATTTCATTATGTACTACTGTACGGAATTTCACCAGACACCAGCTGATTATGATTAGCCTATTTTTTGTTATTAAATACCTCAGGTACCTATTTCATAAACCTAAAAAAAAACATCGAACCAGATAATATTAAATGAAATTTTTGTGCATAAAAATTACTGTATAATGGTGTTTAAACTCTCGACCTAAAAACAAAAATTAAGTTATTCTGTAAAATACAAAATACATACGGTACTTGTTTACGTTAAAGTTACTCACAAATCATTGTTCATACAAATTTTCACAGTTAATATTTCTAATTAGGTTTATATAAAGATATAATCACTCTTAAAGTTGGTAACAACATAACAGAACTCTTCAGTTTTTTTTTCCATTGTTTCGTTAGATTAGAGAAGGAAGGTGAAAACTATCGTACGCCACTCATCAGAAATGTGTTTAGAGAGAGTTGAATGCAATCGATCAATTTGACCCACCAGTATGATTTTTCAACAAAAAACACAAACTCAGATGGCTAAGCCAATACAAACTTTAAAGTGGGTGGCATATTTTTTTTTGCAATTTTAAGATATTTTACTCACCTGGTAGGTGTCTACACCAGGGTCAAAGCCCTTGGGAGGGAGCTCAGGTCCAAATGGGTCAGACAGCTTGAACTCCTTACCTGTCAAGAAATCATTATGTTACTACACTCAACTCCCGATTAACTGTAATCATATTAATCTATCTTTTGTGTACAGACGATAGTATAATATTTTTGTGTATATTGTACCATTCTACACAGAACAGTCTTATCCCTCTATTCCCCAAAGGATTTACTTGTGTTTCTCCCACTCACCGTCCTTGCCCTTTAGTGAATGGCTGGTGGGGTCAAAGTCCAGACTGCCGGACACACACAGCGCGGTGACCAGCTCTGGTGAGGTGACAAATGCGTGTGTCGCGGGGTTGGCGTCATTGCGGCCGGTGAAGTTGCGGTTGTAGCTGTTGACAATGGTGTTCTTCTCTCCCTTCTTCACGTCCTTGCGGTCCCACTGGCCGATGCACGGGCCACAGGCGTTGGCCAACACGGTGCCTCCAAACTGACGGAACGTCTCAGCCTAGGGAAAAAAATTTAAAATGTATTAAGATAGATTTTTCAGTATTAAGAAATTGATTTATTTAAAAAAATAACTAGATAAAACACCACTTACCATTTTTTACATGTATTTACCGTCTTGTGAGTCAACAGAATAACAGTGAAATTATGTTTAAAGTTTTATTAGACATATCTTAATCTACTTTCGATAAAAATAATAATATCAGATGATAACTCTTTTTTATTGAATTGTCATTGAATGCATGTAGGTACTACAATAGTCAAATACATAAAAATAAAAATAGTTATAAATTTGATGTTAGTAGAACAATAGTAAGCTAGAATATTAATCAATCACAGCTTTGTAACAGTAATTCAAAACAAACAAAAACACTCAAAGCTTAAAGTTGATGTAAAACCTTAAACCAAGATTATCCGAGGCGTAGAGGCAAGACTAAGAATCTGAAAGCTACCCCAACAACTGGATTGCAACTCACATAAAACACAAAAACGAATAAATTGGTGGATATTAGAACTAGAGATCTCCTAAGCTACCTTCTAAGCACAATGTCAAATTTCACGACATAAAATAATCAACAAAATTGAAAGTGCAAAAAAACAGTGCTTACAATTCCGTCACGCTCAATAGTAGCTCGGACTTGTTCAGATCCCGGGGTGATGTTGAAGGGGATCTTAGACTTAAGTCCATGGTTCATCGCCTCCTTAGCAATGGCTGCACAACGAGCCATGTCCTCGTAGCTGGAGTTGGTGCAACTGCCGATCAGGCCTGCCAACATAAGGGGGTAAAAATTGTAAATTGAACAAAATCAACACATTAATCCTCACATTATTCTCTGTATACAACAACAACCAAAGCTTTCTTTACAGATATTTTACACAAGCATAAATCAGTCAACCACTTTTATTCTCTGTATACAACAACAACCAAAGCTTTCTTTACAGATATTTTACACAAGCATAAATCAGTCAACCACTTTTACTAACACTTGCTTACTAGCCTACTAACCGACTCTGATGTCCAGGGGCCAGCCAGCCTTCTTAGCATTGTCTCCCAGCTTGGAGATGGGGTGAGCCAAGTCAGGGGTAAAAGGTCCATTGACATGGGGCTCCAGTGTGCTCAGGTCAATCTCAATCAGCTGTTGGACAGACGAAGATAGTTAGAGTGGGAGAAACAAGCCAACCATGAACAGTAAACACAGTTTGGTTGTTATTAGTTATATTTCATTTACAAATAATATGTTAGTGATGTCATAAATTGTTAAATTGATTACACTACTACAAATTGGCAAAATTCAAAATACATTTTCACACCATAAATATTGGATCAAAATAATGAGAAAGTGACAATCTAGCGTATCATTTGCTTGTGATGATAATCATATACATACATCATAGACATCAATAATAGACAAGATATGTTTAACACATTTGATACCAATGAAACCCAATCGGTTGTCAAGTTCTTGCACAAACATTTACATGTTGAAAACGCCAATAGAATAATATCCTTAACATTTGAATCACATTTCACTTTCTAAGCAAATTCGATGCAAATTTGGACTTTTTAAAACATTTTCTCATAATTCACCATACGATTAAGAGATGTTTCAAACAAAATTTACACTATAGAATATGAAATCGGCATACAAAATTCTACATTGTTGACTCAATCAGAAAATATTCTAATTGTCATGACAGTGCTACAAAGGTTTCAGGCAGTTACGACTCAAATTTCACCAACAGATTCACAAGACCCACCTGATCGTAAGGCGCCCCGTTATCAGGTGTCAGCAGATCTTTGTTCTTCTCAGCCAGAGCAGCAATGTCAGCTCGGCCTGTCGCCTTCAGGTAGTCACCCATCCGCTTGTTGAACGGAAACAGCGAGGTGGTCGCACCGATCTCAGCACCCATGTTGCAAATGGTTCCCATACCTGGGCAACATAGAGTAATGCGGATGAAAAATTATGTTGTAAGTTTAGAGAGTTTTTTTCTAAATTGTTTGTTGGATTTCATTTAAAAATAAAATTGAAGAATCGCTGATTTAGATATTTTCTGGGATTGCTATTTCTTTGACTATTTGTCAATAGAATAATAAACATTACACATTATTCTACAGTAGAACTCCAACTATCTAAATCAATGGGAACAATTTTTTTTTCATTTGAAAAAAATAAATTGTAGCCTATGTTTGGATTTATACAGAAATTTGAGGTATTTTATAGAAATAGGCTGAGTCAAGCCGAGCTTTGACCATTACAATTGCAGAACTTTTCTGTAGGGATGGACGGGTCCCAAAATTTCGGGAATTTTTCGGGAAAAAAATATTCCCGATTATCGGGACGAGATTACAATTGACTCGGGAATTTTTCGGGACAGGATTTGGTCCGATCGTCGGCGATTTTTCCGCTTCGCGAGTGCCGATAACGCCGTTATTGCGAGCGATAGGTCCGTGAACGCAGGAGACGAAGTCATACCGACGATCGCGCCGTGACCACGGAGTCCTACCGACGATCGCGCCGTGACCGCGAGTCATACCGACGATAACCCCGTGAACGCGAGTCATACCGACGATCGCGCCGTGACCGCAAGTCATACCGACGATCATGCCGTGACCGCGAGTCATGACGACGATCGCGCCGTGACCGCGGAGTCATGCTGACGATCGAGCCGTGATCGCGAGTCATACCGACGATCGCGCCGTGACCGCGAGTCATACCGACGATAACCCCGTGACCGCGGAGTCATACCGACGATCGCGCCGTGACCGCGAGTCATACCGACGATCGCGCTGTGACCGCGAGTCATACCGACGATAACCCCGTGACCGCGGAGTCATACCGACGATCGCGCCGTGACCGCGAGTCATACCGACGATCGCGCTGTGACCGCGAGTCATACCGACGATCGCGCCGTGACCGCGGAGTCATGCTGACGATCGAGCCGTGTTCGCGAGTCATACCGACGATCATGCCGTGACCGCGAGTCATATCGACGATAACCCCGTGACCGCGGAGTCATACCGACGATCGCGCCGTGACCGCGGAGTCCTACCGACGATCGCGCCGTGACCGCGAGTCATACAGACGATCACCACGTGACCCGCGAGTCACAAGTTACTATAGGTACCTGTAAATTGTTACCCATTTTTTGGTTTTTATAGATCAGTGCCACAAATGGTAAAAATTGATTTCGTATGTCTTTTTTTGGTAACTGCAATACAGTACTTTCTTTTCATGCACAGAAAAAAATCCCGTCCCGTCCCGTCCCGAAAATCGGGAAGGAAATAAAAATCCCGTCCCGTCCCGTCCCGAACTAAAAATTCAATCCCGTCCATCCCTACTTTTCTGCTAAGATTTTGTGATTGAAAAATTCACACTTTTGCCGTGATTGTAGGGAACAATAATTTATGATTTTCATTGACCACAAGAGACAAAGATCATGTCTACAAGACACAGGAAGATATTCAAAATTTTGCTGCAACTAAGGAAAAAGAAGTTTCCAGAGAGAAGTTTTTTTGTGAGATGATGATGATGGCTGTGGTTTTGAGTTTTTTAAAATTATTTTTAAATTGTGTGGATAGTCGGGAATTCGGATGGTTGGGGTTCGGATGGTTGGGGATTCGGATGGTTGGGGTTCGGATAGTGTGAGTTCTACTGCAATTTCTAAGCTAGTTAATCCTATTTTAAATTTGTGAATATTTCAAGAATGAGTATACTTAACCATTAACGGCCATTAATGGCGTGTTAACCATTGTTAACATTTACTTCACAAACTGTGCACCAGAGTCCCGCTAATCCAAACTAACTGAGACCTGACCCTATTTGGATCACCTGGATCAGCTGGAAGGTGCTTGCAAATTTTTATAACAAATATAAAACAATGTATTTTTATGACTGAAATTGGCTCTTACATTAACACTGTGAGCGTCTCCCACGATTACAAAAATATAGTGACAATTTCCTTGTAATCTGGGCAACATGTTATTGCCTTCCTGTGATCAGAGAAATATTTGTGACAATCACCACATTTACACATTTCCCTTAGGTTTCCGTCTAGCTTTTTACATAAGAGGCCTGAGAGTACTCTGTAACCCCCCGTAGACGGGGAGGGGGGCACAGGGGTCCTCATCAGGAAAATTTTTAAAAATTAGGTACAAAGTTGTGGATTTAACGCAGTTCTGTACCCAAATTTGATTTGCCAATTTTATGGTTTTACTGCAAAATTACGCTCAAGTCCATCACGCTCCAGTTATAACAAATAAACGATAGTGATGTACCAAGGTATTTTATGTACTCACCAGTACAGGAGATGTTGTCTACACCAGGACCGTGGTACTCTATGATGGCTCCAGTACCTCCCTTGACAGTCAGGATACCAGCCACCTTGAGGATGATGTCCTTTGGAGACGTCCATCCCTTCATCTGACCAGTCAGCTTCACACCAATCACCTGTGAAGAAAAATTAACTATAGACGGGTTGGTTTTGTGGTACACAAACACGCGTAATCATCAGTAATCAAGTGAATCAGTTGTGCCAAAAGAGAAGTAAGAAACAGAGGATACATTCAATGTCCCCTTCCACTCTCCTTTCCCCCTTTGCCATCACATTCTACAGCGCTCACGCAGTAGGAAGACCCTGTGTGCTACAACTGCTGTACAAAAATATGCTTATGGCCATTGCCGTTCTGACTCTTCCTTGCTCGAAACTAGTACATTTCCGCCCCAACATACCAGAGCTACAAGCGCACGGTTGTCCCATAAGCTTGTATTCTCTGTATCTTACTTCTCTGTGGTTGTACACCATTTTACATTCACTTTGGTGCAGTACCAAGTGTCCATAAGCCACATAAGCAGGCATGAAACAATAATTTGTTTGCTCAAATATCAATAAAAACCCAAAAAAATACTCGAAAATTAAATTTTAGTCATTTTGAGCCCGACCCGAAAATTACCCGGACTCGAAGTGATCTTTTCAGTTCTGACCCGAACCCACTCAAACCTAATATTTCATTACCCGCAGACCCCTAATAACAACCCTTTATACACCTAATTTTTAAGTTGCCAAACTAAAATGTAATTTATTGTAAAAACTAAAGCATCTTTAATAGCCCAGTAACTTAAGTTAAAAATCAAGGCCAACAAAGACATGAAAGATGTAAAGCTGATTTTTTGCATGGTGATAGTGTATGATAGGAAGGGTGTTTTCTGAAAGTTCCCCGAATTTCCCCCCCTTGCTTCCCCTTAAACCCCCCCCCTCCCCCAAAACACCAGGTTGAAAGTGTAGTGTTTTACTAAATCACCTATATCTTTTGATGTAAACGAGCTATCAGCATAACTATTTTTTCTTTCAACTCCCCGTTAAATTTACTTTAATAAAATAACCTTACATGTAGCATTATCTCTACTGGGTGGGTTTATATCTGTGATATAACAAAAAATATTATTTTTTTTACATAAAATTGTAGATTAGGTCAAACCCTGGTTTTTGCAGTAGGTCGTACGTCAATGTGTTTGAAACAAAACTTTTTACCTATTTTATGAGCTTTCCAAAAATGTATAACAATATATATTTTAATTTAAGTTGTTACCGAATGAAGCTATTTAAATCCATGCTTCACTTAGCACATCATTCCAAATTGTTCAGTAAATATTACTAAATGATTACTTTTTATTTATTTATTGTTTACACACCCTGTGTGAATGTTTAACAAGCAAAATAAGAACACTGAATTACAAAAATAGTAAGAAAATAAGTACTCACAAGGATTAAAAATTAAGTAATCGGTAGTTATAAGAAAAGGCAAATATATGCTCAACAGGTTTAATTAGCCTACAGTTAAAAAACACTTAAGTAAGGCATAAACAATACAGTACATATCAACTTTCTTTTCCCTCATCATCGTCAGTTCCTTCGTCAATGAAGGGTGGGAGTGAATTTATACAATCAATGCTTTATACAATCATTTATACAATCAATTTAGTTGTACAGAGTTTAAAAAAAAACAATTTAGTATTTTCTCACCACTTAAAATTTTTAGATCACTTAGCTTATTACCAATAACTTTTAAATGGAGGGAAAATCTACCAAAGTGGATGTGATATTCTGAAAGAGAATACAATTAACTACAAATAACTACCATGCATTTTTTGAAAATTCTTAATAAAGGCAGGCAAAAGAAGATCCTACAAATAGAAACTTGAAACCAGAAACTTGAAAAAAAAATTTCACCACAAATATTTGATAAAATCACACTTTCATAATTATTTGCAAATCTACATGAATTAGGCTTTCCAATGACCCATTAATTAAGAAAATCGGTCTAGTAGAAGTCTAGATTTAGTTGTACAAAGTTTAACGAAAATATCCCTTACTCAGTATTTTATCATTACTATAAATTCAGAGGTTGCTTAGCCTTTTAGCAAATAACTTTTAAATGGTGACTCAAAATAAGTAGCCAAAAGTCGCACCCAAATAAAACGTGTGAAAAACACAGTTTTCAATGTATTTCTTATGGAAAACTTTTTTTTTCACTATAAATCGTAACAAAAACAAACTTTCATAATTATTTGCAAATTTACATGAATTAAGCTTTCCAACGACACAATAATTAATAAAATCGGTCCAGAAAAACTCTAGATTTAGTTGTACAAATATTTTTAAAACTGAATTATACAGGGTTAGTAAAAAGTGTGGAGACCCCCTGTTATTTTTTTAACGGCCCATACTAGAAAAACTAAACTGGGCACACCTTTATGGCATGTTATGAAGTACTTTTTGGGCATAACCACCACTTGGTGTACATCCCCAAAATGGGGGATTTTGGGGGAAACTCAAACAACCCTTTAAAAACAACATTTTAAATGTTAAGCCCCATTAAGTGGCCCCTCATTTTGAAGGTCCTGGTCAAAGAAAACTAACAACGCAAACTAGAGGTTTCTATCTCAATCCAGTAAAAAATGGAAGCTGATTGAAATCTTTAGAAATCAGAAATAACTTGCAATTTAATATTAAATTGGCTGCCATATTTTACTGTGTTAAGATAGAGACCTCTAGTTTGCTAGTTTTCTTTTATTATGATCTTCAAAGTGAGGGGTCACTCGATGGGGTTTATCATTTAAAGTTTTTGAGTTTCCCCCAAAATCCCCCATTTTGGGTTTGGTAACCAAGTGGCTATTAGGCTTCAAAAGTACTTCATAACATGCCAAAAAGGTGTGTAGAGTTTAGTTTTCCTAGTGTGAGCCGTTACAAAATTTACAGGGGGTCTCCAGACTTGAAAAGCTGTAAGTTAAATTTAACTTCTGAGAATTTCAATTGGCTGCCATTTTTTACTGGATTGAGGTAGATACCTCTAATTTGCGTTGTTGGCTTTCTTTTACCAGGACCTTCAAAATGAGGGGTCACTCAATGGGGCTTAAATTTTGAAATTTTAGAGTTTCCCCCAAAATTCCCCATTTTGGGGATGATCACCAAGTGGCGGTTATTCCCAAAAAGTACTTCATAATATGCCATAAAGGTGTGCCGAGTTTAGTTTTTTTAGTATGGCCCGTTAAAAAAATTTACAGGGGGTCTCCACACTTTTTACTAACCCTGTATATAGAATAGATATTTACTGGACAAGTTGGAATGGTGCGCTAAATGCGCTTTGTGGCTGTTTGAAGCATGGATTTAAATGGCTTCATTCGGTAACAATTAAAATTAAAATATATATTGTTATACATTTTTGGAAAGCTCATCAAACAGGTAAAAAGTGTTGTTACATTGACGTACTACCTACTGCAAAACCGACGTTTGGCCTAATCTACAACTTCACGTTTTAAATAAAATAATATTTATTTTGTATCACATATAAAATCCCACCCAATAGAGATAATGCTACGTGTACGGTTATCTTATTAAAGAAAATTTAACGGGGAGTTCAAAGAAAAAACAATTATGCTGATAGCTCGTTTACATCAAAAGATATAGGTGATTTAGTAAAACACTACACTTTCAACCTGGTGTTTCGGGGGAGGGGGATTTTAAGGGGAAGCAAGGGGGGGAAATTCGGGGAACTTTCAGAAAATACCTTTCCTATTATATACTATCACCATGCAAAAAATCAGCTTTACATCTTTCATGTCTAGGTTCTTACCTAAAGTGACTGGGCTATAATATCCCCATCAATTATCATCATCAAACACATTCTTCAGAGTATAACACTTGTACTCTTATATCTACATGACAGCAGCTAAACAAACTTATCTTATCACTCCAAGGCTGTGAAAATCTACTTTATTACTTTCACTTAAAACTTTTCCTCTTGTCAACCTAGTCCAAGTGTCTCATCTACATCTTGGAGATGACTGACAGGTTAAGAGTTCAAAGACTTAAGGATAAACATAATATGCCCAAATCTAACATTTAACTGAGAGGAAAAAATAATGTTTTTATAAATACAGAGGATGACGTACAAAACCCAAATCCTTACCAATGAAATTATGTGTGTTAATGGGTTTAGTGAAGTGTAAAAATAATATTGATTTTACACTATTTGTTTATTAATGTTACAACAATATAATGGATTTTTTGTGTTCATTTTCATTTATAGTAGTTTTAATTTAGAGTCTTGTGGTGAATATAATAACAGTCAATTATGTTCTATAGGCTACCTTTTTTGTCGTCAATCGTAAATTTACTGATAAAATAACTAGTTTGGAATGTCATTGAACCATTCTCAAATCTGATTGAATAACAAAATATATTTACCATAAATTATTGTATCAATCGTATTTACTCTGGACACAACAAAAATTACGATAATTAGCATATTTTCTGCGAATTAGGTGAAACCTTGATCGCCTTCTGCGTACAACAATTTCTGACTAAATTTGACGATATTAAAAAAGAATGTGAAGTTTACCATATTGCCGTGACCACGGAATATGTTGTCAATTTCGCTGTGACCGCCTAAATTCGGTTTTCGCAGTGAAATTTCAAAATTATCGCATAGTTGTTTATTTTTCTTTATACAATAAAATTCGAGCATAGTTCCTAGATTTATTTTCCTAGACCTCTTAGGTCTGTGGCCACCCTTATTTTTTAGAATTGCAATGCTACTCTACAATACCAGCCCTGATTCACAATCACCTACCTTAGGACACTTGAGCTCCCAGGGTATGTCAGCCATGACGTCCACAGCGTCTGCTCCTCCCACTCCGATACACAGGCCTCCCAGACCTCCACCATTGGGAGTGTGAGAGTCTGTACCAATCATCAACAGACCGGGGAAAGCGTAGTTCTCCAGGATGATCTGAAACATGTGAGAATGATCATGAATTTTTTTTACTTAATCTCTGTAAGTAACTAACCATAGGTTGATATTGGTCTTGCTCTCAAATCCCACCAATTAAATACAGTAGAACCTCCGGAAACTGAAAAGCTTTCAATTAAAACACAAATTAACAGAAAAAACTAAAGAAAATAAAAAAACACTGAAATGTGACTAAGACAAAGAAAGAAAAAAAAACAAAGGAACAATGATGAAGGGTAGCAGAGACTTTGAGATTAAGTCTGTTGACTGCTACAGCTGCTACACAATGCAAACTGCTAACACACTACCACCCTACACTGTGATTTACATCTGACTTCTAGACGGAAACAGACACAAGCCGCTACTTCATAACTACGTAAACAAATTGCACCATGAAAACGTATTTAAAATTGAATAGTTGATCTACATGTACAAATATATTTGAGTATAGGATTATTTGGCCTTTGTCTCAATCAAAAGTGTAATATACCTTAAAATGCGATAGTTATGTTAATATTCTAATCACTTATAATCTTTTACCTGCGACCGTCTTTTTAAGTAGCCGTTTCAGTTCAGTTCTTAGAATTGAAAAGTTTCAAATAACAGCATTGTTTGGTTTCATAACAGCATAGTTTTACCTAACAACACAAATGGACCAATGAGGTTCAACAATAATTGAGAGAGAAGTAAAATTGTAATGATTCAAACTTCAACTAATCAGCTGTTCAGGCCAATTTAATTGTTGAGTGATGCAATTAGTGTTTGGTACATTGTTTTGTTGCATCACTGTCAGTTGCAATGAGAGGTTGTAAACGAAAACATAACCTCTCTTAGAAGTTATGAGTAGTGATTTTTAGTGATTAAAACAATGTTGTAGGTAAAGTAGTGTACACAACTAGCGTAAATAGTGTTAGACACTCGTAGCAGTTTTCAAGGCACTTGCCAAGGCTCGTACCTTAAATTTTCTGCTTGTGTTGTTAACACTATCTTTACGCAATCGTTGCGTAAACTACTATAAATTCTGAATACATGAATAAGATATACATACTAACTTTTGAATTAGTGACTAAAAAAGTTTAGAGATGATTGAAATATAACATCTGTCACCTACCTGATGAATGATACCAGATCCCGGATGCCAGAAGCCGAGACCGTACTTGGCTCCAGCAGACCGCAGAAAGTCGTAAACTTCTTTGTTCACTTCCTTAGCTGTAGCCAAGTCTTCCACTCCACCAACCTAAGAATATTGCAATTCAATAACTGGACTTGCCATTGATATAATGTCTTTTCAGTACTTAAGGCTAGTATAATAAAAAAAAGCAATATTACAGTAATCTGGGTGATTTTAACAAACATGTACGATAGCCAATGTAACTTTACATTATTATCAGATAGGATATGTTACTGAGCTGGAACTAAGTGGAAAAACTACTTTACTTAACAGGTACACCAAATTATAACAAAATCTAGATTGCTGATGTTTGTGAATTCAGACTAAACTACCTGAGGTTATGTTAGGTTACGCTAGAATTGAGTGGAAAACTATATTTCCAACAGGAGAGTGGATGAAAAGACTGAACCCGAAGTGATAACACAATCAAACTGAGATTAAAGAAACAACTAAAGACAGTTATTAGCCTACCAGAAGGGTAGATCACTTGGGGCAGAATGTATTGGTGACAGATTTACCAAATGTGATTCAAAATTAAATCCTGGATAGCCAATTTAGAATTTTCACTACAGTATTTGAGTGGCACAGGTTAGGCTAGTTTGTTCAAGGAAACGCCCTAGACCAGGATTTTGAATTGTAGAATATAGAGGGATAGCAGCTAGCTTATCGTAGGAGAAAAAGTAAAGGTATGCCGTAGAACAGAACACACCGAAGACACATAAACCGTTTCGTCTCTTGGGGAGACTTTATCAAGTGTAGAGAAAGGAAACAGTGTTTGACAAGCAGAGGTTAGGGTACGTTACCTGGGCAGGATCAAGTGGTTGCAGTGGACCGGTGAAATATTAGCCTGCTAGAAGTCTAATGACAAACAATTTAAACAAAGGCTACCAACCTTTGAAATTATCAGGACAAAAAAATCAAACTATCCAAATTCGATGCTTGCAAGTCAAAGGGGCGTAGGTACATATGATAAGCATAGCCTATTATATAGTTACGCCTCTTTTTTTTGTAAGCGACGAAGGTTAAGCGGATTTTAAATGTAAAATATTTAAAGCAGAGGTTTGGGTAAGTTACCTGGGCAAGGATCAAATGGTCGCAATGGATGGTGGATGGTACCGCGACCTTGGGCAGCCCTGAGGAGATGAACTGCAACATGGCCATCTGGGCAGTGGCATCCTGCATGGCCACTCTGTCTGGCCGCAGTCGCAGGTACGACTTGCCTCTCTCTGTACAGTGCACGGTAATGTTAATACTCTACAGTGTTTGGTATAGACAATGATATTGATTATCTTACCTCCTTGCGGAGGATCCGAGTACCATAACCATCAAATCATGCATTGTTTCTATTTGGTAACTCTTTTTCCACCCGTCTGTATTTCGGTAGATAAGGACCAGGATTTAGACAACTGTAGGTCTACTAGCTAGACTGTAGTTTCAGTTTCTGATTGTTTAAGCAAGCTGCATATTACACAAGGAACAGAAATGTATTGCTTTGTCTTTTCTGTGATTGTGATGATGGTTTAAAAATAGCTTTCAACCTAGTGGTTATATTGAGAGACAAACTTAATACACGAAATATGTTTTTATTTATTTCCATGCTTTACAGACTTGTTGCAGGTGGTTTAATTGAGAATCTGTATATAATTTTTTCCTACAGTTACCTAACAATGTACATGTTCTCTCACTGATTTAAGAAAGCAAAGTGGCCAATTCGCTCATCAGTGAGACAATGTTAACATTGTCTCACTCTAATTACTTTGTCTCACTCCAGATTTGCAACGTGAAGGCACGGAATAGTGAGCGTGTAACATGCAGGCAACGTCGTATGCGCGCGAAATACGTTGGCAGCACTGGCTGTAAATCAGCTGGTCAGCTGTTGTACTGTTGTATTTGTCACTTCACATTAAATGTTATGTTAAAAGTTCACTTCTGTGTAAAAATAGGTTATGTTTCTTCACCAATTTATTTGTTTTATGGTAACTGTAGGAAAAGTATAATGTGCAACTCGAGTTCAAAGTACAATTGCCTCACTCGAGAAACCATTCCTCACTCGCCTACGGCTCGTGAGTAAGGATTTCTCTCGAGTGAGTCAATTGCTCACTTTTCTCACTAGTTGCACAAATAACTAATTCAGGCCCAAAGCTTTGAATATTACAAACAGTTTCACGCATTATACCATTACCAAACTACTAAATAAATTAATACACCCGCCGAACATTGCAAACGACATATTTTGTGAAATTGAGTTTTTTAAAGAACAATGAGATGCAAATTACATTCTCTACTGTGTGGGATGGTATGTTTGCAGCACATATAAGTGATTGACTGCGTGGAAAACTGGCTGTGTTGGCATTGACGTGGCCAGAAAGTTCTAGTATTTTCTAAAATGTTTGCTTTTGTGATTCACAAAATTGTTCGGCAGTGCTATTCAAATAAAATGTTCGTTAAAACTCTAATGAACTATGCTTGGAATGTCAAGAGACTGAATCACTAACTTTTGAAATACATTATGTTAATTACAACTCTCATGACAATCAATGTTTCAATGTAAAACTATTAACATACTACATTCCATCCCATATTCCCATTTATGACCATAAAATTGTGTCAGAAGGTTGTGGATTCCAAAATATAAATCTGAACATTCAATATTACATAACTCCAGTAACAGTAGCTCTGTTTTGACACTTACCAATCTCTTGTCCCTTAGGGTCATCAAGATGAGAGTATAGCACCTTCTCAGACAAAGTAAGAGGCCTGTTCAACCTGAAACAAACATACCACTTTATGTAGAGCAGTCATCTATCTATTAGATTAAATAATGACAGGTTGGCCTTATAACAGGGAAAAATTATTTAAATTGTGGCAGTCAATTATCTTTTTAAAACAAATTTCACTAGAGGGAGGAAGCTATTACCGTAGACGTCGCAGTTAAACCTAGACCTAGGACCCATTTGCTTTTTTTTAATTCTCTTCAGAGACCAAAAATACCATCCGTTCAAATTCATATAATTATGTGTCTGTTAGTGCCAAAACTTGAGGAAAAATCATCCGATTCAGATAAAATGCTGTACAGACCTACCTATTTGAACAGTTATCAAACCTGCATGATTGGACTATAAGATCAGGGGTTGGGATAAAAATTGGGGTTTCCCATTTCTCACCCTCCAAATATAAAACTTGGCAGTTTCTTTCTAAACCATTTTGTAGAGCTAAAAAACAAATAATTTAGTACATTGAGGAGTTGTTGAACATCTAATGGTGATAGAGAATATTCAAAAAAACTATAAATATAAAATTCCCATGTTAATCTTATGGGGAATATGTAAATTGCTATATGAATATGCATTTTGAATATGAATATGTAAAGTTGGCTTGTTTATAAATAAATTATTTCTTTAGGTCTTACCATGAGATTTACAGCTATAACTTATTCCCTATTTGACTTCCTTTACTCTTGAAATAGGCTATAATTTAAAAAGATAAAAACCAATATATATCTCAAACTTTCCTGTATTAGTATTTGATGACTTAAATATTTAAAGCAGTAAGGTTGATGTACTTATTATTACTTTGCAATGTTGGCATATAGCCTGATTGTTTTTACTTAATTAGCAGCAGAGTAAAGAATTGCTTCCTAGTGTTTTGCAATATACATGCAGAATTCAACACACACAACACAAACATGCTTGATTCACAGAGTCAGATAACCTATTGGTCCAAGTCTAGTTTTTATCATAATCCAAACGCAATTCACTTCCTCAAATAGGGCACTGTTACAGCTTGCTTTTAACATTTAATTTCAAAGGATTATGAAACAAATATGATACAAAGTGTCGTGAATTTAAAGGAAAATATTGGGTCAACGTTATTTTTTTTCTTTTCTTATTTTGTTAAAAAGTTTATTTTTAATTTAGTCAGTAGGCATAGTAGTGTAATTAAACATTTTGTTTAAGAACTCTGGTAAAAGAAAGCAACAAGGTTGTGTACCTATGCCTTAATAGGCACACAACACACATGTATCGGTATTGTAAATTGGTATGTCATGGTACAATGTTAAATTTCACTATTAATTTCACAATTTTTCAAATTAAGACAGAATTTCTATTTTTACAAAATATCAGCTGACTCCGCAGATGGAAGAGAGAGGAAGACATAATCAAGTTACAAAGTGCAAAGCATCAACTTACACAACAGATCACGTTTATAAATACTGACAGGATTAGAAAAAGTTATTGGGAAAACCGCCATTGATCTTTACTTGTTAATTTTATATTCATTCATTGGAATTATTGTAAAATTTAAATAACCTGTCAGATTAAAATGTTTATTTATTTAAATGATCCCTGTTTAAAATCAATTAAAGAAATTATACTTAGTAAAGTAGTTGCAGTGTTCAGATAAATTACTTTTTTATTTAAAATAGTCAAGTCTCGAAATTTCGGGAAATTTTCGGGAAATTTTAAATCTCGTTACACGAGACAAGATTTTTTTTTGGCCGAGATTTTTATCAAGACAAGAATAAAAAAAAAAAAAAAAAAAAAATTAAAAACGCCTGCAGAAAGTCAATGTAATACCCGCAATACAGGAGCGTGTTGTAGTTGCGTTTCCTTTGCGAAGGTGTTCTTATTGAATTAATTCTTCAAATGTAAATATTACTTTAATAATTATTTTAATAACATTTGAGAAGTTTTGATAAGTGTTAGCAGTGAGAGGAATGATTTATTTTATTTTAGGATAAGTTGAACTCTATCCTAACTGATATCACTATTTTTCCTAATTGTAGGCATTTTTAATAAGTTAGGCGTGATTAATAAAAAAATGATATGCTGATGTTTTTTAATAAAAGATTGTAAATATTCTTGTGCCTATTATCATTATTTTTGTATTTAAACAGTCATCTAACAATGTTACAAAATCAGGTAAAAATTCCAAACGTGCATATCCCGTTGTGTATGAGAAGGGAAATCCCGTCTCGATCTCGTCTCGAAATTTTATGAGAAATAAAAAATCTCGTCTCGTCTCGTCTCAAACTAAAAATCCAATCTCTTCAATCCCTAATTTAAAATATGAATTCTCTTGGAAGGTTTATTGATAGAAGGATTATAATATTTTAAAATCAAATAACAGTAATTATTTTGCTATTTCAATTCAGAACTAATTTTGTTAATTTATATTATCATCTTGATTACTATTTTATTTTTTATATCCTGATAATTTTAACTCTGACAATGCACCTATTCTGTATGTAACACATGTAAAGAATGTTATGTGCAAATAAAATATGTCTATGTCTATGTCTATTGTCGTGCTGCATAGGTATTAAAATATAATTTAATTGTTCAAAAGGGATTGAATGTGTGATTTTTAAGTCTGAATACCATAGTTGAGTAGTTATAGTGCTCACATTCAAACTAAAGGCTGCTAATTTAATTCCCAAGCGTTGATTCTTCGCCCAGACTTTTTGTCGTTGAGCTATCAACGTATAATGCCATCTAAAAAAATGTCGACACTACATAGCTACAAGGTTAAGCTTTGAACTATTCCGTAACTAAAAAGATAAATGATGGGCCTAGGAAAAACCCAAACAAAATCAGTTTATTTTTAAAAAAATTACACAAAAGGTTTAAACAAAAACCAACATGTTATTCAGGCGATTAAATCAAACATGCACTAAGACATACCTTTTCTTAATAATGCCAAGGTTCTGATTCAGTTTCTCGTAGGGCATGTAGCGGTCAGTGTCGAACTTGGACATGGCCACCTTGGCTGCGGCGGACACTAGCGGAGAGACGTGGAAACATCTCCGCTGAGCCTCCAGCATTAACCCCCATCGGCCCTGCACATACATACACTGATATATATATATATACTACATGCCTAAAGACGAGGAGTCAGTTACACAGATTTCAGAAATATGGGGTCTACTGGATGAAGGTTTATATATCTTCTAAACCCCATTTTGAGATTAAAATTTCAACTAGCATTTAATTTAATGCAGAAAATAGTATACCACTACAGCACTAAAGTCTTATACCTACCTCTAGAAATCATGGTTATCCTATTTGCTACAAATCAAATCATGTTCCGTGATATTTCCTTTTAATTTCAATCCATCTGATTATTTGGTGCAAGGCTCTTGACCCAGTCTCTTGATAATCTGGTTAAGGGGCAACTAGTAGGCCAGGTTCAAGAAAAGGCCAAACCATCTAGAGACCACTTAGTAGAGAGAATTTCAGACAGCTTCTGGCAAAAAGTACTGACTTAGCAAATTATATCAGTAAAAACCCTGTTGATTTAACAAAGCATTTAAATAGGGTCTTCAGTTGAAAAAATGACCACTACAAAACTCAAACAGTCTGGTTCCAGCAAACTCGACAAATTAACTAAGTGATGTGGGTCTGATGTAAGCATTGTGCTTAGGCTTAGGACTTTGGTGTTATACTTTGTCTAACTCAAGTTGGCCGATGGACCCGGGACTACCTGAGCCCACCCCTATAATCCCTCGCTGCGCCCACCGGGGTTGTCCACTGCCTAGGCGATAAGTCACCTACTGGCTGTATTTAACAATGGCATACTTTCTTCACAGAATGATAATTTGACACTTTTAAAATTAGATTTGAAATATACTAAAAAAGTTATGAAAAATGATACCAAACTCGATCTAGATATTTGAAGATTTCACCTGATAATAGAAAATCTGGTCACAAGTCTGGTTTTGGGTGATTCATAATATTTCTGAAAATAAGGGTGTATAGTAAAGAGTCAAGGGGTGCACATCGTGTCGTGAGTGTGTGGATATGCTAATTAATGCTATTAGTATAGGCCAATTAAATTGTTAGTAAATAGTTAGTTAAATCTTTCTGTAATGCCTCCTATGTAGGCTATGTATATAAAATTGTCTTCAATTATTATTGTAATTTTTAACAAACACAAATTTTAGTAAAAACATTTACGTTTATTAACAAACTCTACAGCCAATTTACTTTTACCCAAACAGTCCAGAACGTAAAGCTTTTGATATTCATTACAGCATAAAACTCGCCTTCTAGATTGTCTTAATAAAAATTCGCAGTGACAATGTTAACAATTCTTAATAAAATTCGTATTTAATGCTCTAATACCTAGGTCGAGTTTGGTATCATTTTTCATAACTTTTTTAGTAGATTTCAAATCTAATTCAAAAAGTGTTAAATTATCATTCTGTTAAGAAAGTATGCCATTGGATAAATACAGCCAGTAGGTGACTTAACGCCTAGGCAGTGGACAACCCCGGCGGACGCAGCGAGGGATTATAAGGGTGGGCTCATGTAGTCCCGGGACCATCGGCCAACTTGAGTTAGACAAAGTAGGCTATAGATAATTTCAATATCATGCATGAGGTTTCAATTACTACCTTTAAAAGCATTTAGGCATACAACCAATAGCACACCTTTAATAAACGTGTTACTGGAGTATATAATGAAAAAGGTTGTTCTAAAAGGAAATCAAAGCAAACCCATTATAGCTTAAGGTTCTTTGCTAACACATATTTGAATTCTTCATAAAAAAGTAGGCTAACCCTACATTAATTCAACTTTGTTTTTACATTTCACTAAATAAACATTGATTCAAACTTGTTAACTAGGCCACTCGAGAGAGATAATGTAAGCTGTCAAACTAGATAACAATAATCTACCGCAGTTCTTTTAGTTGTCTCCACAAACAATACAATATGATTGTAGGTCTATTTTTTAATTTTTGACAAAACATTTACTTAACTAGACTTTGTTGTCAATTTAAACGTTCTAGATTCGCAGTGGGTGTGTTTGGCATGATAGGCTAAGTTTAGTATACCTTGGCAAGAGCAACATCTTAAAATTTCTGGCAGGTTGCCATCAATCTATTGGCCAACAACTGATACACGCTCCGTTGTGAAATATAGTCTTTGATTTAACTCAGCAACTTCACTTCCTCATTAGATTGTTTAACATTTGACATCATTCATTGCTTTCCAAGAATTGTATTTATTTATGTTAGATGTTACATTGAAAATCAGTAATAACTGATGAAAGAATACAGTATTTAACAATCTTTGTTAAAGGTTTCACAATCATTTAGGCTACAAGATTTTTTATGAAAGGAAAAAAGGAGGATCTAAATCTCTTTGTTTTTATTTGAGAGATTTGGCCAGAAAAGTGCTTATAATAGTTTATAATAGTTTCAAAAAGCATGAGAAACTATAAGAGGACAAACTCTGATTTTCAGAATAGAAGAGAGTTAAGACACAACTGGAGAAATTTACCAATAAAAGTAAAAATTTGTCAACAGTAAAAAAAAAAACTTAAACACTGTCTACAGAATACACTCTAATAATACAAACTAATTAATGATTACATCTCAAATAGAACATGTTCGTGCAACTTGCAACTTAACTGTACAGATACAGAACGTTATCAATCAAACGTAGGCCTACAGTTGAAGCCACGTAAAACGAGGACAGCAAATGGTTTTTAACAGTTTTAATCATCAGCTTGTTTGCAACCAAGGCCAAGGCCATGTGTATGAAAGAGCTAAAGTGCTGTGGTAGCAAACGGAAACCAACAATTCTATATTATCGTTTAAAGTGAATTTAAACTTATTTTAAGCGCCCCCCTGCGGTTTCGGGGTTAGAATAGGACCGCAGCCCTCCCGGGCTTGTCGTAAGAGGCGACTAAAAGGGTGACTGACGTCCTCACTGGGAGTCCCTGGGAGTGCTGCCTCTGTTGTGTTGCAGGGGTTGATGTGTGCTCTGCACTGCCGATGGGTATTCCCAGTGTGTCGTGAGGAGCCAGCCACTTCGGTCCTTGGTCAGGAAGTGCGGCATGGATGCAGAGGTCGGGCTCTGCATTGCAACAGGCGACCCCCGGCACGTCAGGTATCCGGTGCTGGGCAAACGGAGGTCGGGCCCCGGGGAACTGGGGTAGGGGATTGTCCCCGAGGGTATACCCGCTCCTGACTACATCCGGGCCGTCTCTTGCCACACGATGCGCTGGTAAACACATGTATGGCTTGTCAAAACCCCCCACCCAACACATTATTTAACAGCAGCCCTAATGAGCAATACCCCCGCCGCAGCAAACCTGCCGACTAAGCGAATTTCCATTTGTCTGGACTGATTTTCAATCAAATCTATTTAAATAACGTTAGGTTAAACGAGTACCTAGGTTTGCTGCTACAAGGAAACTAATTAAGCGAGTTTTTTTAGTAAAATATTGATAGCTTAGTACAAAATAAATAAATTTGCCAAGTTTGATCAAAATATATTCATAAACAAGCAAACTACAACATTTGACAATATTCTCCATAAAAATAACATGGGAATTTTAAATTTACAAATTTTTCAATTTTCTCCGTTACTAATAATCGAACAAAAATACTTTTAAATACTAAATTATTTGTTTTTTTAAGCTCTTTAAAAAGGTCTAAAGAAAAATCGGGAAATTTTGTGTTTTGAGGGTCAAAAGTGAGAAAAACCAATTTTTACCCCATAAAACCCCCCGTAAAGCCCCATTCCCATGGTCCGATCGTGCTGGTTCGCGAACTTATTCAAGTTTATCACGCTTTACACCTTTAAACCAAATTTCATCAAAATCGGACAAAAATTACTCAAGTTATCGCGTTCACGGACGTATATATATATATATACATATATAAAAATTTGAACGAATAGTGTTTTTGGCCTCTGGGGACATCAAAATGAAAAAGTAAATTGGTCCCGAGTCTAGGTCTTACCGTGCCACCTACGGTAATAGCTACTTCCCTATAGGGAAATTCGCTAAAAAACGAAGTCGGAAAAGGAGTGAAGCCCTTTTGGGCGTAGCTCCAAGGTCAAGAGATCGCCACCAGCGAACAAAGTTAAGGCAACTCCACCGCTTGCAACCTTTAAGGGCTCAAATGAGTTCCCCCCACTAAGATCTCCTTTGACAAGTGGAGAAGGAGAAGTAGACCTTGAACCGGCGTTGACGGGAACCCTCCTGGAAAGTACAGCGCCGAAAATCAGCCCCCAGAGATCGGATCCCGAACTTCAGCGTTACCTTCAACAATACGACGATGCTGATGAGGAGGAGTCTGACCTCCTGGTAGAGATGATGGACCTCATCAATAATATGGAGGGAACCTTGAAGGTCCAGACCAACGTAAACCGGTCAATCAAGGACGGTCTCCCAAAGGTGAAGGATCGGGTTGCCCGAGTTCTCGAAATTAAAGGCTTGATGAGACAGACTTTAGTTAATGAACGGGAGCTTGTGAACCAAGTTTTAGCCCCTAAACTAAACGACAAGGGTGGGAACCAAAGGAAACAGGCAAGGAGCTCACCAGCGGATAGCCCCGATCTTCCTGAATTGGTCAATCAGCATCTGTCAGATGTCGAGCAGAAGGTCGAGGACAGGGCCACCCAGATGACACCCCCTACTGAGCACACTCCAGCTCTAAAGAAGCGCCCTCAACAAACCAGGGAGCTTGCCTCTCTCCCAACGGTTGACGGAAGCAGCTCTATGAACTCGGCTGCGGCACCCATCAAATGTGGGTAACTGGGAGAAGAGACTCTCCCGCAAAGAAAAGAGGAAATTGAGACGAATGGAGGCTGTCTCTAACAACGAACCTGCAGCAAGAGATCGAAAGGTTGCTGACCCTGCTCCGGCAAGGGAGGTTCGTGGAAAGGCCCCCCCCCCCTGTTTTAAAGAAACCCAGGCCGAGAAAGCCCAGGGCTGAGGCAATCCTGATCAACCCCTTAGGGGGGCGATCTTTTGCTGAAGTCTTGGGTCGACTCAAGTCTAAGGCCAAGTTAGAGGAGACGGATACGATTGTTAAGTCAATCAG